CACCTATAGCTGTGTGGGGAACACCTATAGCTGTGTGGGGAACACCTATAGCTGTGTGGGCCGCACCTATAGCTGTGTGGGCCGCACCTATACCTGTGTGGGCCACACCGTGCCAACTCTTCATCTTGAACTGTTTTCAGTCTCGTTCCCTCACATAGATAAAACGCAGCACCTGTGCAGTCTGCCTTTACAAACTGTTCACACTACAGAGACTAAATGCTTGTAATGGCAGAAAGCATCCAAACAAACTACTGTGTGAGACACGATGTGACCACGCTGATGCAGGACCACCACCTCACCCTGGTCACCACTCTGTACAAGATGAACGTCTCGATCGCCGTCACTTGGCTCTCTGGGTGGTCGACGGTGACGAAGATGTCCTTAGTGTTGGCGTCCTCTTTGCCCTCATCATCGTCCTCCAGTCTGTACTGGTTGACCATGGAGCTGGGAGAGTTGGGCAAGGGGCTTCCATCTGGCAGGGAAGTATTCTGGAGCACAGAGAAAGTGCAAACACAGCCTCACTCACTTTGTATGTCAACAACACATCAGTGCCAGCTGTGTCCTGTCAGCTTTGGAAACACAGTCAATGAATTCAGGAGAGATTTTGTTCTTCACCAAAGCATCTCAAGTTTTTAACAGGTGAACTTGTTTGTGTTGAATGTTGTTATAGACGCAAGGCTCTGCTTGATGAAAGACTTAATGATTTTTTGTAGAAAGTAAACAAATGAATAAAGTTATGCAGTTTCTGAAGAAGCAGGGCTGTGCAATGTGACCTCTCAGATCCTGATATAAACATTTCTCATCCCGATAACCACATAGATCACAAACCTGTGCTTCTTCTGTAAAATCAGTGAATCTCAGGAAACTCGACCTGTGTGCCGTGTTTTCAGCTGGGCGTCGTGTACCTGGAGTCGAGTCTGGAAACTTTGTGAGTATTTATTACACGGCGTGCTGCGGGGAAAAGCCTGCTCCAACCTTTGAGTCTAAGGTTTACTTTCACGTGATTCTTGCGTAGGTGGTAGAAGAGGTTTGTGTTCGAGTCTGAGGTGGGGCCGCGTTGTGCCATCATTTGTACAACAGCACAGTTTTCTGGTCCGTGTTTTCAGAACCAAACCCTGTCCATGCTGCAGAGCTGCCTGGTTCTGCCTCATCGTCGCTGCACATGCTGGTAGGGCTGTTCAATATAACCACATATATCTGATGACGATATGAAAACGTCTGTCGTTTCATTTTACGCTATCGTTTGTTTCGTGGTGTCGCAAAATAACCTGTTTACAGCAATATTTGTTCATGGTTCTGATGTCACTGTGGTGGCTGTATTCATTTCTTAATGAGGATATGTCGGCCAATTTCCTCTGGAAATGTCTTTTGATTAAACTGTCAGCGAGGAATTTGCACTGTTACATTTTTATATAACTTTAATGCAGATAAAAACTGCTGCTTGTTTAAGTGAAAATGCATTGATGGGGTTTTTGCACTAATAAAGTTGAGGAGTTGTAAAGTATTTTGTCTAGTGTTAATTATATCGTCAGTTATATCGTTATCACAAATTTTCAAATGTATATTGTGATAAATATTTTGGGTCATATCACCCTGCTCTAATCCCTACTCCCACAAGGCCGGATCAGATGATCGGCGTGCCTGCCAACACGCCATCAAGGTTGGAAAGGCCTGCAAACTGCCATTCATTTGATGCAGGTGTGTCGGCACAGGGATGCGTCTAAAAGCTAGCATGCTCTACCAAAAATAGTGCTTTGTTGTGTGTCTGACGGACGAAAGCTAAACCAGTTCCACACCACTGAAGCTGCAGCAATTTTACAAACCAGTTCAGGTTCATTGTTTCATTTAACGATCCGCTTTCGCTCTTCTCATTCTGCGTCGCCGCCATACTTTTTCCGCCATGTGCGTGTGTAAACAAAGGCACTGTGCATGCGCGTTTTACCCAGATTCTGTCGCCATATTTCATTTTCTTATCGTTGCCCAAAATTATACCAGTGTTACCGTGAACGGTATGATAAGGCCCACCCCTACAGCACGCCGTGTAATAAATACAAAGACAATAGCGGCCGTTACAACTTTTGCCTAAAAATGTTTCGTTTCATGCATCGGTCAAAACACTCGACTCCAGCTACACAATGCCCAGCTGAAAACAGCAGGTCTAGCTGCCTGAGATTCACAGAACTTACAGAAAATGTACACCAAAGTGCTTCACAGTACGGAATAAACAGTAAATGATTACACTGAACAGTGAGTCATTAAAACAAGGTAAAATAGAGAAACAAACAAAAGCATTAGTAAGTAGAGAATTCATGATTATCCAGAGAAATGAGTAACGGTACAGCAATTAATGAGCGGTGAGAATTAGCGAGTCGCCAGGTTGAATAGGTAACTTTTCCACCGTGCTTTAAAGGATTGAATGGAGTCAGAGGCACGATTGGTAGCAGGAAGACTATTCCAGAGGTTTGGTGCTACAGAGGCAAAGGCACGATCACCCCTAGTCTTCAGACGGTGCCTGGGCTGGGCCAGAAGATCGCAAAGAACCTCTGGGAGTATAGAGACTGAGGAGGTCTGTGAGATAGTCAGGGGCAAGGTTGTTTAGGCATTTTTAAGTAAGATCTTTGTAAATTTCAAATTCAGGATCTGACACAGACTGATTCATGTTCTACAGTTCTTACAAGTTCATAGAAATTTCTGTTCAATTAGAACCAAGTATTTGAGTTGATGGTTGTAATTTTTATACAATGTTGTAATTTGTGTTTCAACAATTTTTTGATTAATGTTTTGTTTCCGTTACAATATTATACTTTAATGTGTAATATTGTAACGGAAACAAAACAGGAAACAAAACATCAATCAAAAAATTGCTCTTTTTTATTCGGGCTACTTACATTTATTTTGGGCTACCAAAAACTGAAGAGTCCCTGCCCGAAGGCCTACCAGGGATTTTGAAATTTTGCGAGCCCTGATGTTGTATGTCCTGGAAGACACAGATGTGCTGTCTTTTTGTCCAAGTGTGTGTGTGAGCCTTCACAGCAGTATGTGATGGCTGCGGTGATGAAAAGTGAACACATCAGCAGTAGAGCTGTTCGATATAACGATATATATCGGATGACGATATAAAAACGTCTATAGTTTCATTTTACGCTATCGTTTGTTTCGTGGTGTCACAAAATAAACTGTTACAGCAATATTTTTTCATGGTTTTGATAGTCACTGTAGTTATTAAGTTCTCTCTTTCTCTTATATTTAATATAACCACACTACAGACGGACAAGCGCCTGTTTTTATGCGTTGTCGTTAGCAACAACGACGGTAACACCATCGCGTGTCCGCTTGTTTATGTTGTTAATAGTCGACGACTGATTTAACAGTCGACGCGTCGTTTGAAGCTTTGTAAGATCACAAAAGACGCAGGAATAAGTAGTAGGATTTAAGAGTGTAATAACGGACTGAAACAGAAGATGGCAGCACTGCATGTACAAGGATGCCAGCTGCCGTTAAACCCCGAAGAAGAAGAAGAAGGAGCTGTGTCCGGTATCCTAGCTGTGTCCAAATTCAAGGTCAGCATCTTCCTGAGGCCGCATTTGAAGCCCGATTACATCACAGCGACGCGACGAAGACTCTCCAGATTTGAAGGATGGGTCGGGTGTATCCGTCGTGGCCCAACCTATCCCAGAATTCATAGCGCAGCCCAGACAATTCCAGTTTCCAGCAATGGCAGCAGCTACTTAGTGTTAATATTACTCTTATTACTCTTTCTGGGTCGGACTCCTGGCACATTGTTTCCAATGGATGATGATCTGATTAGTCGACTATCAGAATAATCGTTTGCAGCCCTATTTAGAGGGTAAGACGGGGACTCACTATTATGTTTAGTAGCATAGTGCCGCCCTTTCACCATGGATAGTATTGCTGCTGCATTCAAATGATCCACTTTATGCAAATAGTAGTGAAGCGTACATGCTTTGCCTACAGGTGTGTTTCCTCTAACAGCGGTGTGAGGTCAGCGTCGTCCTGTGATGGTGACAAACATGGCTCTGGCCTCTGGATGGTTGATAGTTCCACATCATCTCCATCTGCAGAAACAGCAGCAGCGATGCTCCTGCCCTAGGCTAACATCTATTCACAACTACTTCCCTGCATGTCTGTGAGTGAGCTGGTTGTTATGGTAACGTGATGTGGAAGCATAGATGCGTGCTCGGCTGCAGGCACCGTACAGCTGTGCATACCTGAGCCACATGCAGGACACATCTGCACACGCTCAGATCCTCATCAGCAGCACTGGACTGTGACAGCAACAGTTGTCATAGTAACAGGACTGTTGGTAGCTTCATTTCTTCCATGCACGCAGCTCGTCCTGACTGAAATCCCTCCATTAAACCGCTTTTCATATCAGTGTGTATGTCGCCTCGTCTTTATGTTCAGCACTGGGCTCTTTTGCACCTTTTTTCTTTACGGCGTGCTGCCATCTCTCCTATAAGCTCACAATCACAGTTTAGTTCGTGTAGAGTCAAGAAGAGAGGAGCTGCCTTTGGGGATCAAAGATCTCAAAGGTTCTTATAGGTGAGCCTGTGCAAACTGCTGTTCTTTCTTTCTGCAGCGTCCAACACGAATACCTGCATGGGTAACGCCCATGTGAAATAACTGAAGCAACTGAAGCAACACACAGGTAACTGGAGTTCAGCCTGCGTTTGGGAGCCATTCGGTGGATCTCTAAATAGCCCGTCCAAAGACATGCTGATGCAAGTGAAAGACATCATTAGGCTCCAGGTCACACCGCCCTTGCCAAGGTGTCCCCTAGTAGGACGATGGAGTCACCAGGCAGAGCACCCTCCATCACCCCACTCAGTGACTCAAAGAAGACTGATAGTAGGATAGGACCTGTCCCTCGACCCAAAGGGATGTACATGACTACTCAGCTAGCCGACTAATCTTTGCTGTCACTATTCAGTACCAGACTTACCAGCCATTCAGATAAGCCAAAGAAAATTGCTAGATGATTTATTGTTTTGTTACTTCAGCTTTTATTGAAGCGGTTGTCATATTCTGTCATATTCAGCTAATCATCATGTGTCATTATAAGAACGTAATAACGCCTTTTAAACGCCTTTCTTATTCGTTTTCGACGTTTTCCATTAAACATTTCTTAATGGAAAACGTATAAATTGACTTATTCTGAATGGTTCTCATCATTTCAACTCAAAGTTAAGTGTTTTCACAATTACTACCAAAATTAATGCAATGAATGGTGCCTGATTATTTTTTTTATGTTTGGTACATTACTAGCATCTTCTTACGTTGTTCTGTTTGTTTTTGGGAAAAGAAAAGAAAGTGGCTGTTGTTGATGATTTATGATCTATCTGCTCAGATTCCCTGAAAGGTCTTTGAGTATATTGTTACCAGCTGACAAGCACAATGTAAGTTCAATGTCTTGAATTTAACTTAATTTCTGAGTGTTTCTTCGTGGCCCGCAGCTTCAGTCTAATTA